CAATGTTTTGAATCAATGATCCGGCTCCTAAACCAAACAATGTACCAGAACCTCCGGGGCCACCTGGATTCAAGAGTAACGGTGATTCAGAGAATTGATCTCCATTATGATTCCCAGGTATTAGAATTAACGCAATATGTACTTTAGGATTATCATCCGATTCATTAAGAGGTCGATGATAGTCCATAGGAACTGTGAGTCTTGCACATTTGAACCTCGATCCAGGTTCGTCAAAGCATGGGTACCATTTAAGTTTTTCACTCGGTATTATCTGTAAACATGTCAGACAACTGAGGGTCCATAAACCTGGAGAGAAAATTCTAAACCTCATCAAATTCATAGTACTTGTTCCCATGGTTATCAGGTATTGGTTCCCCAGACTCAACTAAATCTGATATGACGAACCACGTCCACCAGACAAACAAAATGGTAGCAATAATGAGACCTGGCCATTTCGGGGAACCTTTAATAACCTTTACGTTCTCAACTCGTCTGATGGTTTTAGGAAGAAGACTTCTTCTCTCCTCCACCTTGGCATCATCAACATCGAAATCTTGAAGCGTCTTCATTGTAGAGTCCTATAAACTAGCTGGTTCATCGAAACGAGAACTCGCTAAGAAATCAAACATCAGTGAAAGTCTGTGTCGTATCTGTAGATTTTGAAACGCAATAACTTCAAGAAAAGGCGTAAGAATGAACAAGACTGCTTGAAATGGAAGTAAAAGGGAAGTGTATGTCTAAAGCGGTACAGTTTCAAGCAGGCGGGGGCTCGGGGTAAGCGCATAGGTCTCATGAGGAATTACAAAGATCGAGCACGTAATAGATCGGATGAGTTGTGTCCAATCATAATCCTGGTGATGTTTCGTTTGTGTCCATCAGCTGGCGCGTTTGATCTCCCTCCCTACAGGTAACAGAAGGTGGGGGCTGAATGGTACGTGCGCCGCAATTTCCACCAGGATCAGGTGATCCAAAGGTTGTGGAGGAAGGCGCTGAGTACCACAAGCGTTTATATATGCTAGAACATTATTGACGACTTAACAAGCTTGGGTCATGTTCGCAACGAAATGCTCTGAAAATAACAAGACTCGAATCACCAGACTCACCAGTTTGAATAGCAAATAGAAAGAGCAAACTATAATTGGTGGCCCAAGAATATAGGAAAAGCCAATTTTGCCGAAGGATTGGGTTTTCGGCTGGAACGAAAGTAACGTTGACAATGAACTGGAATCTCATTTACAGGAAAGCAAGAAGCTCCTTCATATGCATACCTAGGCTGTAAACTCCAGCATTCCGGTTGCAGGCGTCGTTCTCAGTATGCGCATACCGCGCGAGCACGAACGGCAATGTCTCCCTCCAGATACATACCGACTTCAAGGCACATGGATTTGGGGGATTTTGAAAGGCAGCGATACATCTGCATCGAAAAAGCTGAGAGCGACACGGCGTCCCTTAACTGCAACCGACGAACAATTTTCCGTTGCCAAACTAATCGTGTAGCGAGCTTCTATATAGCAAAGTTCTCTCTACAATGACACGCATAAACGAACGAAATATAGCGCTTGTCGAATCGCACTGTGTGATACCATTTATATGGATAACAAAGCCACACAAATATACAAACTGACGGCTCGAAGCTTGATAGTATACAAATAGATGACGGTTATATGGCACTGTTGCTCTGTATTGCACTTCCAGCAAATGACGGAGCTTCTGCTTCCCGCCTTTAATGTGCATAAGGTCACCAGGCCAGTATCAAACCATTTGTTGTACCACCTTTACAATACAGACCCTTCCTTCGGAATATCTATCAACCACGGACGTGGGAATTCGCGTAATCAAGATAGGTGTGGAACACTCAGAATGTCCGCAACCTTTTGGTGACTTTGGTCTCGTGATACCCAAAATTTCGTCGTTGCCAGCCTGAAGCATTCATCCGAGCTCTATGCTCTTGTTTGAGAGACTCAGACCCACTCCATATCATCGCTATCATACTGCAAAGTATAGAGTTGTGGCACCATATGCGGACTTGCATGGACTTTTAGAACTGCAATCTCTCGCATTTGTAACACGAGAACGAACCTGAATCTACATCTCACACGCGTGTCACCCTTTCCAATCCCCCGAATAGCACTGGCATCATATGATATCAAGTCTACTATGTGCAAACGTAGATCTGTGTTTGTTTTCATGCAGTTGCAATGCAGTTTGCTAGAGATTGAAGGGTACCCGAGAAACCTTGTTACGCCTGTACTTCCACGCACATCCGATATGGCACAACAGCAATAGAAGCAATCGCAAATTTGTTTTCCATCAGAAGAATGTTCGGCACGCCAGATATCGTCATTTCATGTCGGTGAGATCCATGTCCTTCAGGGCTAGCGCTAATCTACCTTGAAACTAGTCATAGCTTAGCGGATATCTATCCCTATCTTCATTCCCTCCACACTTCTTGTAATATAAAACTTCATCTGTCAAGATGTATCATCACTGTGCAAGTTTTATAATTTGTGATTGCGAGTCGTGCATATGAAAGACTTACCATGTGACCTTTTGCGCTTCGTTGTTCTGCTTGGTTACAATCGTAACCAATTCACTAACAAGCTAGGAGGGTGAATTCCAGGGGCATTGTCCAACTCAGTCGGTTGCATATTGATGGATGTCCCTATTTTGATGCATTTTCTATACTGCTACAGGTGAATTGTTTCCCCAATGGGAGCACCCGAAATGCATGAAAGACCTTGGACACCACGTTCCATGTCTGTGTCTCAATGCTTGATGAGCTCTTCATTTATCATGGTATGGCAGCTTGAAGTGAAAAACGTTGTTTCTACCGGTGTTCTACCCTTCTGATCTTACCACTCTAGTCTAGGGGTTTTGAAGTTCCCGATATCCCCTTTGAAAGAGGTACAATCAAGTGACAGCGGGTGCCGCACGAGGAAGTTGCGAAGCCTTGTTATTCTACTGTACACACAAGGAAGGCACGAGGTCTCGACATTTTCAAATACGGTTCGTTGAGTCTACAGTTTACATTACAATCAATCAAGAACAAATGCACATAAAAACAGACCCAAGTGCTCATCCTTCAACATCCTAAGTTGCTAGCAAAACCAACACCCAACACCTAGAAATAATCAGCGAACATTATCACTCAAATGTCTCCTTCGGCTATCATCGACGAGTCCAACTTCCTTCCAACTGTTGTTGACGGGGCCAAGGCTGCTCCTCCTAGCCCATGTCCACTGGCACCAGGAAAGGGAGAATTTCCTTCTGTCGAGTACTACGATCATCTTGCTAGAACCTATGAGGGTGCTTTTTCCCACGACATCGGTCTCCGAGAATTCATTGAGAGAACGCTTCTGGAACTACCCAACAATGCAAAAGTTCTCGATGTTGGCTGTGGAACTGGCAAGCCTGTCTCATACACGATGGCAGCCCATGGTCATGATGTTCATGGTCTCGACCTATCCGGCGCCATGGTCGATCTATCCATGAAATGCGTTCCCACGGGCTCATTCACGCAGGCGCACATGTTGGATTATACCCCCCAATTCCAGAACAATACTCCTGACTTTGACGTCATCTTTACCATCTTCTCGCTCTTCTGCTTGTCTCGCGAAGAGATGACGACAATGGCCTCAAAGATGTTCAGTTGGTTGAAACCAAACGGACTCTTGTGTATCGGCACCATCTGCGCCGAAGACTTCAAAACAACACCTTCGATGTATGATGCGGATAGACAGTGCGCCACGAATGTTGGAATGATGTTCATGGGATCAAAGTGTTCTTCCATGACGGCATTCACAAAGCAGGGTTGGAAAAGCGTGATTGAGGCCGCTGGTTTTGAGATAATCCACACGAAGAGTGATTTATTTACGCCACGGCCAAGTGCAGATATTGCTTCCGATGATGAGATGCATTATTATATCATGGCAAGGAAGATGTAAGACGGTTGGTCTTCTTAGGGTGAGTCTAGAGTGTATCAATTGAGCTTGCGCATCCACACTTATCTCTCATCCTCCATTTTGCAGTGATATTTCCACCAAAAACTGCATGCATGCACCGATCTATGTTGTGTCAATCTAAAAATACGGAAGTCCTCAAATCCTGCCAATTTATCCTCCCCCCGTCATTCACCGCCCAACATTCACTCTCAAAATTTCCACTCATTTCCCCTCATAAAACAAGTGGGTCCACCACCTACCTCATCGTCGCTCAATCTCCAACCACCCCCGCCCCTCAAAAAGAAAACCCCCCCCCCAAAAACCTAAGATCACCACCACCCAAAAAAACAGCAAAATGATGGGGTGGCCAGTCCCACCATCCCAGCTTCTCACGCGCGTGAGGCTGTGGCCAATACCCTGTTTAGCGCATTCAAGCCAGTCACTTCGACGACCTCCGAGCCACCAGAAGCCATCTCTATGCTAACTCCGCTAAACGAATACATATTGGTTGAAGATAATGCTGGGTATTGGGATATATGTATGGATAGCAAATGTGAGGAGGAGATATGATATGAATGTGATACTAGGAGATTCATCGCGCCTATCGTCTTGATTGTCATCTTACTAAAGATTTCTGCAAGCTCGATTCTCCCGCCCATCGGCTGAAGGCATTACAATTAAATATAGGATGCAGCATGTGCTAATTCAAATGATGTCTTTGAAACCCTATAACAATAAGCGCATCACAAGGAACGATAGAACATGCGTATAAAATCAGAAATATTTGAAGTTGGGCTGTGTAGGTGTGGTGCAACGAGTATCTCAAAGTAGGAAAAATTGACTCTTAGTACCTAGTAAAAGCAGACCTTGATCTCATCCGTACAATAGAAGCAAACGTCAACCAGACAATCATTGTTATAATAGTTATGCCAGGAAAAGATCCAAACTAAGTTTGCTGAATTGCGCAAAATGTCTCGAATTTCCACTTTCCCCATACCATTCCTCACTCCCATAGCCATAACCATTCCTGCAACCGGTTTATCGCTGTTATCTCAACATCTAGCATCTTCCCCAAGTCCAATTTCCAATCTCCCACCCTTGACTACCCTTCTTTTCAAGACAATCCTCTCCAAACCCAAAATTAGGTTGGTCATGATACTCATTCTCCACCACGAACAACTTAATTTCCACACCACCCGTTTCCGTTCCTACTTTCTGCAAGTTGTCCGCGAAGGCTTTCACATCGTCGACAAAGACTTCGTCTTCACCAGCTACGATTAAAATTGATGACACGGCGGTGGGAAGACGTGACCACCATGATGAGGAAGCGTAGAGTGGTTCAATGTAGTTATCTGATGGAGCAGAAGCCTGATAATCGCTTGACCACTTTGGATTGATGAGTTTAGGTTAGCCGAGTAATGACGGAATTAATTGAACAGTGAGGTTGAGGTTTGGTTAAAGAAATATGAAGGAAGTGCAATTGGAGAACGGAGACTTACAATTCTGATAGCGGAGGGATGAATTAGATCTTTATATTCATTCCTCTCGTAGGATTTAGAGCTGGTGGCAAATGTAATCCAAGGTGCTAAGAGCACAGCTCCATCCAGTGGTTCTGAGAGGTGAACTCGAGGAATGCTTTCATTTGGATGACCATGCATGATGTGAGACAGCAGAGCGAGAACGAGATTTGCGCCTGCGGAGTCGCCGGCTAGGATTATAGAGGATGGAGCGTAGCTGGAAGAATAAAGATATGACAGTTAGTCTTGGGAGCTTGTGATAATGTGACTTGAGCTTTTCCAATAATCTGGACTACAATTCATTTAAGATTCTAGCTTTAAGATTCTGAAAATACTATCATCGATATATAGATTCATCATTTCAAATCAATTTGATAATCAAAACGATTTCAATGCTTAAAAGGGATTGAAGATTCCTAAAGCTTTGGTTTTTGGGATGCAATCCGGACTATTGGACACCCACTTTCAGAAAATTAAAAGATAAACTTACTTCAAAGTTTGAACGACATGATTCAGCAACGCGGCAGCTTGTTCCAATTGCCGAGGATAGACCCTACTCGGGGAAAGATCTATATGCATTTATCAGTATTCACATATCAATACTCAAATTACATGTAGATGTAAGGTAAAATAGCATACCATAAGATAGGAACAATACTGCCAAACTCTTTCCCTCTTTCTCTGCACCATCCACAAGCCTAAACATATATTCGACGGCGTCGGGGCTTGCAGGAAGTGCAAACCCACCCCCTAATAGACACAAACAGTTCAGACCTTGTACGCGATACAATGAGAGGAACTTTGGACGAACCATGGAAATTAAGAATTACTTTCTTCGCTCCTTTTTTGCCTATCCAGTGCGCCTGCGTTCCATCCTCCAAAGTCTCGCTCAAGGGCTCTACACCCCGCTGCTTGCAAACGGTTTGGTATGCATGATCGGTGTTTGGATTGACATATCTTATTAATTAGCATTTGATGCCAAGCTTCTACCCTCACTATTCATCATGGCAACTCGATAGCGAATTGGAATAAAGGCCATTGAAGAACTAAACACAAGATGTTCCAGTGAACACCTCAAGCAAGTCCGCAATTTCCCCAGCCAGTTTCAAAGACAACTTACAAAATTTGCCTAGGACTCATTCTCCTACACATAGTCCTCACAGCTGTAAGAAGGACATATCTCTTATAACTTCCCCTCTTCGCATTTTTTGTACGCCATATACCGGTCAGAAGACTAAAGAATGTGTTTCCTACTATTTCGGGTTTCTCTGGTTAGTCCGAGTTTGCAATGGTTTGGTACATAAGAAAGGAAGCATTGGAGAAAATGAAGGGGTTGCATACAGATACTCGTGTATGCTAGCACAACATCCAGTTTCTCGGCAATAGATAAAGTATCGGCCAATTTTTTCTGCGAAATAGTCGAGGAGGACATTTTGAGATAAACTTTGTTGAGTTTTTGAGAGACAAAATTAATGAGTTGAGAAGAAACGAAACAAGATTTGTTCAAGAAAGACCAGCGATGAGCTAAACAACTCTTCAGCTGAACCCCCCCGCATCGATGTGCAACATCACCAGGATCGATCCTACTGCATACAGCTAGTTGCATGAGCTGCAGCTGGCATCCGAGCGGAATGACGGCTGCAATGTAACCTCCAATAGTCATTGAACAATAAGAGTAGGATAAACAATAAAACAAGGTTGAACAATGAGAATAGGAATAGGATAGATAACGCGAATAAATTGAATGACGCACAAAGGCTAGCATAGGAAACAACATGTCCAGTATACAAAAACCTTCCGCTAAACCATCCGTACGTTGATTTTCTGGCGGGCCGTAAAACATTGTCTTTTCGTGTGTATAAAAAAAATTCATATTTGGGTATCATTGCTCTCTTTGAATTCAATTCAGCTTTTTCATGCCCCTCTTTCGCTTTCCACCAACTTCCCTTCCTTCCTCAATTTCTAACATAGCTTCACGTTTCTTCTCTCCTACCAACTTCAGCGATTCTCTGATTACTCTCGTTTCCAGGTTTACGCCATCCTCGGCCCAAGCTTCCATCTGTCTTCCTACTCTGCTCTCAATGGCCTGTATCAACTGTACATCCCTTTGGCCTACGAATGAAACAGCTTCTCCTTTCCTTCCAGCTCTGGCTGTACGTCCAACTCGGTGAATATAATCATCTGGATCTCTAGGGATATCGTAATTGATTACTAGACCCACCTCTGGAATATCAAGACCACGAGCAGCTACATCAGTCGCAACTAGAATTCTGGCCGCAGAGGCACGGAATCGACCCAAATTATCAATTCTTTGTCTTTGTGGAAGTTTAGAATGGAGGGCCGTAACTCGATGATCTAGAAGTCGCAATAAGTGGGTGAGGTAATCGGCAGTAGCGGTTCGATTGCAAAAGATAACGATGGATTTTGGTAAGTTTTTTTCAGTAAGTAGGAACATGTGCAGATAGTGCTCTCTATGTGTTACCGGTACCTGCAGATGCATTTGATTGAGGGAAGGTGGAATCGCCAGAGCCTGTGTATCCACTTCGCAAACAAAAACCGGAAGTTTTCCTGGTGTGCGAGGCATATCCTTCAAAGCTCGCACTTCTGGAGTGACTGTAGCCGTGAACAATAAAGTTTGTCGTTTGGCGGGAGGTGGAAGGATAGATAGACATTCTTCAACATCTGGTAGCATACTTCCTGCGCTACCGGATGCAAGTAATCGATCCGCTTCATCAAGAACCACCATGCGCACCCTACGTAAAGCACCAATCGTGTCTTCGCCCGAGGTTCGAATATGATCTGCCAATCTACCAGGGGTTGCGATAACAATATGTGGTCGTTGAGCAAGGGCCGTTGCCTGGGGCCGCATGTCCGAGCCTCCCGTTATCAGGACAGCCTTGAGAGATTGAGGAGATGAGATCGCTTTGAATTGCTCGTAAATTTGTAATGCCAATTCTCTGAGAAAGTGATGTCAGCCAGATGATACCATATTCAACACGGCAAGGTCTTACCTCGTGGGAGTAAGCACTAAAGCAAAGATCCCGAAAGGATCTTCAGCCCATTTTTGTAGGATTGGAACAGCGAATGCCACTGTTTTTCCAGAACCTGTGCGACTACCTCCTATACAGTCTCTTCCCTTTAATATTTCTGGTATGCAGCCCTTTTGAATTCCTGTAGGCCGCTTGATAGCCATAGATCCCAGCGATCCCACCAACCATGGCTTCACATCCAAGGCCGCAAAAGTGGTTTGCGCATCTGTAGGAGCCAATATTGCGCCATTGCTAACATTTTTGGCATCGAGAGAATTCTTTTGCGATTTAGCCTTCACCCGCGAAGGAACAGATGTGGTAGCAATCAAGGGGGTATCTTTTTGCGTTGGCTCCTGGGATGTTTTTCGCCGTTTCCGCGAAGCTTGACTGTCTAAAGAATCTGAATCTGAATCTGAACCCGCACCGGATTGCGAAATGTCATCCTGTTCATCTTGTTCGTCATCGGATGAGGAATTGTGATTTGATCGTGGGGATAATCCGGGCGCTTCAATTGAAACTTGATCAACGGTCTTGGATCCTTGTATGGATTTTTTGGAAGGCATCTTTGGGAGGTCCACGTCGTTTTTGGTGATTTGAAAAAATTCGAGGAAATTATTTTTTTCCCTTATTCCATGGCTCGCTCACTACCATTTGCTGACTGTACTATGGTACATACCTGCCAAATTCGCGCGCGCTAAAAAGCTTGGCGGGGTTCATCGCCTTTCTCAAAGTTTCTGGATTGAGACAAGTAGTTCAGCCAATAGGATCATCTGGATTCATATTTACATGGGCAGATAAGTTCATGGTCTTGTTCTACGAATTACCAATCGTCTAATAAGAGTACAAGCATCAATAATCTCAATTCTGCATAGAAATGGAAATAGAATCACTCATGCAAGATTCTCTATAAAAATAGCTCGGTTATCCTTTTCATTCTTGAAGAATTGATCTTGTGAGTGATCAGAGAAACAAAGAAAGCGATACTTTCTTTAGTTACAATTAGATTGATGTTGACTTCCATCTCTTGAGCCAGCTATGATTTTCTCATACGAAGTGGTGTATCTCGTGCCAGACAAGGAGATATGGGGAAGGGGAATTCCAGGAACCGGCAGTTTGGGCGGCTTACTACATACGGTTCAACTACTCCGTAAACAGAACATTGACAGCCTATGAATTGGTTTAAATGACTTACTTGGCTCAGAAAAATCCAAAAAGTCAACATGTACAGCTATTCAATTACTAGATATCCATTATCTGATCACATTGAATAATGAGAAGCGAGATAGCAATGTAGAATTACGAAGTATGTACTCCTTTTGATGAATATACGAAGCGACTTGCAGAGCTTCTTCATTGCATATGTCCGGTACCGAAAATACTCATGATGTTAATCTAATATGCAAATATCGTAGATACATGAGAGTGCTTCTGAAAATCGGTGCTCTCTGTATGACTGCATTTCTCTGACCACCATCATCTTACCTCTCCTCATTCATACCTTTATTACTGCACTTTATTCTTACGCCCCCCATGATCTATACCAGTGATTGGGTTGCACGGAGTATACCGAGTAGAATTCAGCTACGAAAGAGGGATTGTTACGAAGAGAAAAATATATATGGCTGAACCCTAATTGTCCAATTCGCTATGAAACACCGATGCACTCGAAGGTAAGCAAGCACCTCTAATTGATTGATGAAGGCAGACGACGATGTCAGCAACGACGACAGCTTTTCGAGCATCATCCACCGAATATCCGACTTGCCTTTTTATGCGTTTCGGGAAGAGTAGCCAAATGCAGCTGTCTCCATAGCAGCAATCTACAATTAGTTTGGCGCTGTGCTGGATGTATATATATATGCTACCCAAGCGAACAAGGTTGAACTAATTTACATAGGATAGCCGTTGAGCCGTTAAGAGACAAGACTCAAAAGTCCCTGGAACTGGAGTAGATCCGTAGCTCATGCTATTTTGATCGATAGCCAATCCCCGGGATGCTGTAAAAAGAATTCATGTTACGTTCTGTCCTAACTCGTTAGATTGTGCAGTAGTACTGATGAAGCGACGAGGTAAGGAGTGAAAAACAAACAGGCATTGAGTAGTATAGATTGGTAACAATGATTTGCAAAAGAAAAGAAGAGATCTTTTTTAAATAGAAACATTCAGGGCGGTTGGTTGGGTTGGTTAGTTGAAGGAATGTTTGGTAGTTTCTTGGATCTCCATTGCACTCTCTCTACCTCTTGAGCCTCTCTACTCTGTACTCATAGATTCTATTCCCATGCCTACCTTGGTAAATCCAATCGGTCTCATCCGGTCACAATAATTCTTTCAATCCTCATCGCTCTCGTCCGTTGTTGTTGTTGTTGTTTGTTTGTTTGTTCCTTTTCAGCTACCATTTATGACAATGCTCATGATAATATTTTATTAATCTACTCCATATATAATCTTCGAGCTTCTCTCCCTGTCTCCTTCGCTCCCTCCCTCCTTGCTCGCTCACCCCCCTCTCACCCCCCTCTCTCTCTCTCCAAAAAGATCCAACTATCTTCTGTCTTTTACATGGATTAAATATAAACTCTTGTCGTACGCGCATCGACCCCAATATTGTATTCCCTTGCAGCTTTTTAACGTGTATGCGGGCACGGCGGGCCTTTCCATCCAATCCCATTTCGATTCAAGGGAATCAAATCTTCCCTTTAAAACATTCTTTTACCACCTGCACCATTGCCATTTCTTCTTCCACCATCAATCAGTTCATTCACTTCTTATTGTTAGAGAAAAGAAACACAACATTGTTTGTGCATGTTGTGATCGATACCTACTTGTTATTGGATTCTTATATTATTTATATATTATACCGACTTTTATATATCTTCCGATTAGACAGAAGATCCTCTCCAATTGTTTCAAATATTGCCATACAAAGGATTATCACATATCCTTTTCCCCTCTTTCCGCCAAATCCCTCCCAAGAACCATACCCTCAATTTACTATTTTATCGACCCACACTTCGTGACGATAAGCTTTGAAACGGAAACGAGTCTCGGTTTGAATACCCACAGATTATTACGAGTACCTACCCAACATTGGAAACTGGAACTGGAAGTTGGAACAAATTGCCTTACCATCCTTACGAGAGTTGTCACAAAAATCCTTTTACACAACCAACCTTTCTCTGCCTACCTACCTACTATTCACTCAATTTATCCAACATCCAACCTAGCCAACTTTTCGAGAATTGGGATCAGTCACAAGACGGACCTCGGACTCATTTCGACCATATAAAAGCATTTCCTCGTTTGCAGCAACAGTCTCTTGCAGCGGTGGACTGCATGCCGATGCAAGATCAGTGCAATAACATAAAGAACACCGGCAACGGTGTGACCCGAGATTCGGAACTTAAGACAACGGCAACGACTTCGAATCCTGCCGTGTCCGTTTCATTTTTACGCCGCAACCTTTCGACTGTTCTGTGTGTACTATGAGTAGACAATACGAAGATCACACCACCGATTCGAAGACCTCGAGCAATCTCTCCCTCAACCCATTACCCAACATGTCTTCTCCAGCTCCATTGTTACGCCCTCCGATTCCAGGTAGTCGACAAAATGGCGGCGCAAGGACACCTAGGTTGGGCCTGGCCATACCACCTTCTCCTAATGCTAAGCCCGTCAATGCTCCTGCAACAAAAGGTCTCACACTTCAAATGCCTGGCTCGATGCCTGCGCGACCGGCATTACCTCGATTACAACTAGCCACTCCTATGGGAAGTAATGCTACGCCATATGAACAATCTGGAAGGGGTGCAGTTGCACCAGGACAATCTGCAAGTGGGGGAAGCGAAAGTAGTGCAGCACATTCAAGATCAGGTAGCTTTGGGCCGATGGATGGGAAGGGGAGTGGTCCAACATCTGCAGGTTCCCAATATTCTGCATTCTCATTAGCATCGCAATATGGTTTGAGCAAGCCGCAAGGTACACCCGATCCGTCATCAGCTGTAGGCTCATTATATTCGGAGAGGAGCGAGGGAGGTGTGGGCATGGAGCGGGATGGCAGCATGAACGGACTTGAAGCATTCGACAAACTTAGCTTAGAAAAAGGGAGAACATTAGATGTCGAAGATTTAGATGACGATGGATGGCGGATAGCGAGTATGGAGAAGAGGATTGAGGAACTCGGAAGCTTGGGAGAGGGAGCAGGAGGTGCAGTAACTCGATGTATGCTGAAGGGTGGAAAGACCGTCTTCGCGTTAAAGGTAATTTGTTATGCCTCACAATATCTTCTACGCCGCTTACTGACTCTCTTAGATCATCACCACAAATCCCGATCCTGATGTCAAGAAACAGATTGTCCGTGAATTAGGTTTCAACAAGGGTTGTGCTAACGAACACATCTGTCGCTACTACGGAGCTTTCGTAGAACCATCGACGGCTACCATTTCCATTGCTATGGAATTTTGCGAAGGTGGTTCTCTCGACTCAATCTATCGTGAAGTAAAGAAACTTGGTGGTCGCACTGGTGAGAAGGTCCTCGGAAAGGTTGCCGAAGGTGTCCTAAACGGTTTGACCTACCTCCATGGGAAGAAGATCATTCACCGAGATATCAAACCTTCCAACATTCTCCTGTGTCGCGATGGTCAAGTAAAACTATGTGATTTTGGTGTAAGTGGTGAGTTCGGTACAAAGGGTGATGCAAATACCTTCATTGGAACATCATACTACATGGCGCCTGAACGTATTACGGGTCAATCATACACCATCACTTCCGATGTCTGGTCAACTGGTGTAACACTTTTGGAAGTAGCCCAACATCGCTTCCCATTCCCAGCAGATGGATCGGAAATGCAACCTCGTGCTGGTTTGATCGACCTTCTAACATACATCGTTCGACAACCTATTCCAAAATTGAAGGATGAGCCCGATGCCGGCATCAAATGGAGTGACAGCTTCAAATACTTTATCGAGTGTTGGTATGTTCAGTCCTAGTTCATTTGGGTGGAAAAAGTCATACTAACTTCAAATTAGTCTCGAGAAAGACCCTACTCGTCGTGCCTCACCTTGGCGAATGTTAGAACATCCATGGATGGTCGAGATGCGAGGCAAACGTGTGAACATGGCACACTTCCTAGCCACCGTATGGGGCTGGTGATCTAACTTCATGAATCATTCTACGACGTTATTATCGCAAAGTCTATCCGATATCAGAGGATGGAATAGCAAACCAATGTAGACCAAATCTACTTGGCGACGAGAAAAAAAAAAGCCAAAGCACACCATGATGATATATTACACACAACGACCTTGAGCCCTGACGATACGAGACGATTACGCTATTACATGAAATTCCACCAGATATGAGAAAAATCTACACCATGGTTTTATCATCATACCATCTACCTATACTTTCCCTTTGTATCAACCACCTCCCTTCACCTCGCAATCTACAATCATCTGCATTTACCGGCGTCGCCATGTTTTTCTTCCTCTTGAATCGGGTTCGGCGAAGCGGCTTCTTTTTTTGGGTATAGGAGAAATGGTTTTGGGAAGCATCGAGAGTGAGCGAAACTGAGCGGTTGAAGGGGATGCAATTTGCGTATGCGAATGAGTAGCAACTGTTGAAGGCTTCTCGTTCCAATTGTACTACTTACATATTCTTAGTTATCTACCGAACTACCAATCTATCTATACATTTATCTATATTTGAATCTCTTATGGAATAACATCATGTGCTTGAATTTTATCATGGCGATGCCGTAGTTGGAAAGTGGAAATTGGATGAGTGATCTAGTGATAATCGAATTTACCGACTTCTCATTAGGTCTCGATCTTGTATACCTGGATATTTGGCACAAGATTTAAGGCTCATTCTATGAAAAAATACGCGCATACTTACAAATCCCCTCGAACCCCCCAATCTTATTAATGCCAGTGTTCTTGAGGACCAGAAACAGCCTCGCTAGCAAGATTGTTCCCCCTCCCTCCCCCCTTTATCACTTTGAATATCATGTTTTGGCTTCAATATAAATACAATGTTAATATCATAGTACATCAACAATAACCTAAATTACGATTCAATATACACACCTTGTTGGTAATCTCATCGCCACCATCAAACCCATTTTTATAGCCATCATGGTATCATATCAAGGGCACCCATAACTCCACTTTGATTGGCTGGCTTCAAAAATGCCGAGGTTGAATAATCCTTGAACACATCCGAATGAGAGGGGTCTACAACCGAACAGACGGAGATATGAACCTCACTATCAGCAAGAGGAATACACCACATCATACTTATTCAATTACCAATTCATCATGTCACAAATAGATCTGATAGCAATCATCTTTCCCAAGGAGGGAAAAGCAGATAGAGTGAGCGTCGATCTCCCCCAACATGTGCCCTGGTGACAACTAACCCCTATACCTCACTAGGTTGCAGAACTCCTGAATGAAATCTCTACACATATCGAGGCAACTGAGCCTGGGACATTGAAGTATGAAATCAAGAAAGAAGTCAACAAAAAGACGGGTGCTGTAGAAATTGTTATGCTTGAGAGGTGAGTTTGATCTCATTGACGTCATCTGCTACATGTGGATTATATGAAACTAATGAATGAATCAATAGTTACAAAGACAAAGCTGCAATCGCAGCCCATGGATCTTCAGAAGAATTCAAAGCTTTGGGCAAGATGTTAAAGGATGAGGATCTGATTGCCAAGCCCATGGAATTGAAGTTTTTGCAGCATGTTGGGGGATTCTCGTCGAGGTTGTGAACGCGGAGGGTTGCAGTATGAGAGACTTTAGTAATCGTATCTAAACTCTCGAATCTAAACTCTGCGAGGGATATAGAGACAATGCAACTAATTTAAAAACTTGGTTGGCGGATTCAATCGATGCATACCTTAGATGTGAGAGTCGCACGTGACAGAGAAGTACCTCGTCATTGACCCTTCAAGAAAGATTGGATGAGAATGTAAAGCAAGAGAATATGTCACTTTTGGTCTTATTGTTCCTTTAGTTGCCATGAGCTTTCATGCTGTATTCAAATACAATTTTAGTCTGCCATGGATTTCCAGAATAAATGGTGGATTGTGGATTGTGGAATACAAAATAGTACCAATCTACTTCGATCTGGCCACCAGTCGTGACTTCCCTTTTCATTCTCACCACAACAATCATCATCATCGATGACCAAATGACCTTACACGGCAGATCCTTTCAAATCTACCTCTTTCAATGGGTGGGTTTGTTTCTCTAATAAATCATACTCCTTGAATCTATTTGTCACTCTTCTTTCTCTATCAACTCATCAAATCTCGCAATCATGGAGCATGAATGTGAGCAACAACATTTCACGCCCTTGGTTTTCACCTCTCACACGGGAAAGGTATTCCAGGTGGAAATTGATGATATCGCACAATTGTCGCCAAAGCACGGCAGATCCAACAGTGTGGTATCAATCATTGAGCTGAGAGCTTCATCTCCATCCCCAAAGATATCTGCCTTGGGAGGTTTTGATGGCCATGGACCCGATGATCCACAACTTCCAAAGTATGTTCTCAACCCAAAAGTTAAACTGGAAGTTACGATGGCAAGACCAAAGCATAGTTGATACGCGCAGACACTGATATGAATGGAAGGTGTACTTAATCCAGAACACACCATGCTGACAAGAATCTTTAGAGCCCTGCCTTCACACCAGCGGAAACGTTCCTCATGCGGAGGCTCTCCTCTTGTTTCCTTCACGACTTCTACACAGTCGTGCGAGAAAATGGAAACCTCGGGCATGAAATCATCGTCATCTCGCAAGAAGCAACCGGAAAATTCTTTGTGTGATGATTTCCAGGAGGGTGAGGAGTTCGATGTCTGCAAAGCTTATATGGTTTATAATGAATATGGTGAACTGGTTGATGCTCATAGCCATCTTCAAACCAAAAACACCCAGGATTTGTCAGTCACAGAAATATTGAGATTGATTAAAAAAGCATATCACCATGACGTTAGTTCTTCCCGTCATCATTGAATGTTGTGAGACTTGCACTTCGCATCGCTATAGGGAGTTTGGAATTTCATGCTGACTTTACGTTCAATAGTTCAGAGCGAGAATGAAAGATATCGAACAGATCAAGGGCCAAAGCTCATTGGGCTCAGAAAAGGACAACTTAACATCTGAGGAAAAATTGTCATATTGGGAATACAACCCGAGCTCATCGACGAAAACTACACCGGTCAGTGGAGAGCTGCAGTCTCGGTCTGTTCCTGTTTACCAAGGACCACCTCGGGTCTTGGAGGTATGTCTTTTCTGCTGTACATTGGAATCGTACTAAAAACCACAGATTGGGTGTAGCGATGGGAGTTGGTGTTTCAAAGTTAAGGAAGACCAACCAGATTGGACTGTGGAGGGAATCGATGAGACAGACCACTGGTCTTGTGTGCAAAGAGACATTCAACTTGAGTATGATGGTTGTACTCGTTTGGGATCAACGTGCTGATTATTTCATAGGGATTTTATTGTTCCGACTCCCGAAATGGACATGTCCGATTATTTCAGCCGTGTCAATTCTTCACAAACCCAATCCGCTCCTGCCTTTAACGTTCGAAACCTCAATTGTCTACTTGCGCACGCGGATCCTATTCCACATAATCTATACTCCTTTATCCGTGGAAGAGATGTCTTCGATAGAGTTGAGAGTTACAAGAGCTTTTTGGATGATGTTCGCTTGTGAGTGAGTTCCTGAGATTTACTAGCTACTACAACTAACGGCGAATAGAATTCTACAACCTGGTGGAGTTGTGGAATTTTTGGAAGTTGACCCTAGACCAAGATCAAAATTGGCAGGTCATACTACTGTGAATCGTGAAGAATATCACCGGAGCGTACCCCAAACTGACTGGACTGATAATATTGCCGATCGTCTTAAGCGACCATCTTACGATAGCGAACTTGCAGACACAGTCCCCGGCTGGATGGAAAGAGTCATGGAACGCCATAAAGCAATATTGCGTCCACGTGATGGAATTCCTGCCGCCAATCTAAAGTCTTGGCTAGAAGGGGCGGGGTAAGCTAATGAATAGGCAATCTGTCTCATGGAGAAGAAGCTAACGGTACATAGATTCTGGGATGTCAAAGAGATTGTTCATCGGCTACCCGTAGGAGGATCTACAACTACCGGTCAACGTCTAAAGGAATTCATCCTATACCAGATTGAACTCGAGAACGATATACCTCAGGTATTCTTTTCCTGGCCATTTTGAGTCTCTCGGCTAACTAGATGTAGCTTCGCGAGAGGTTGTCACCTGTCGAAATTGAGGAGATTGAGAGTGGCAATCACTACCTCACCTTGCACATCGTCACGGCTCGGAAGCCGCGCTGCCCCCGAGCTGGCGATCTTCTCATGAATGGCACCAGAGAAGAAATGACGGATATGAAATATGATCAGATGGCTAGAGTCAATGAATTGCCAGTGAAGAACCAAGCAGGATGGAAAAGGTTATTCCAGTGCAGAAGTAGTCTCTTATCTCACACCTGCTAATTTGTTTGCGTCTTGATAGATTCGATCTCGGTCGTATTTCCGAAATGATGACATCATTCGATGAACATCACCCTGGAAACATCTCACTCTCATCACCACTCTCTCAATTAAGAGATGGGGCTTGATGTAAGTCAGAGTGAAGGAGGTATTATGATGAAGCCAGGAGAAAAGATAGAGGTTGAATGATGACATGGCTAGAGTGAGTATATGGTTTATCTCAATGGCTAGATTATATAAACTATGAGCATTGTACCGCAGGGTGTTTGCTTCCATGATACACAATTACAATCAGACATTTACAAACTATAGCTCTTGATATTTGGCCATCCAATGAAAAGAATACTGAATTCGATCAAAGGCCAGCGATCAACCATATACTCCTTAGACTGTAGTTCAATTGCTGATTTCTTGATACATAAATTGTAATTTTATAGAAAGGATACGCAACCCGGCAGGAGACAGAACAGTAATCACTTAGTAGTTTTCAGGGACCGGATCAAGTCCCTGCACCTGAACGACATTGGGAATCAACAGCACAGATTCCCCCAATATATAGGGAATCTGCCGTTCTCATTCTGAAAGAATTTGCTTGAAAGCAGTAAGGAGCTTACCGCTTAAGCGAGTGGTCTACGCTGCGTTTGGTAACAAAGCATCACGACTTTCGTGAAATACACTAGGAAAGCTTAGTATGACAACAAGGTGTTGTTATTTTTTTGGGGAGGGAGAGGAAGTATCAGGCATTATCCGGCGATGGAGATGACACAAAATTAATGCTTTACGATTGACGTTTGATGTACCCATGGACCACAGTCGGAATTAACCTCTAAATACAACAAAAGCCCTCGGAAACTCGGAAAATAATCTATCTTCGTGCATTGAGGGATTACCATTCCAATTTCTGGTTGATTGCCTTGATAATTCTAATCTACGGTGTGCAACTGCATCTCATAGCAAATTCGAACAGCAAGGAAGATAGACCTCTTCATAATGGTAGAAATTATGGGTGGGCAATGAAAAAGACGCAACAAAGAAACAAAGATATCCCACGTGGAATCTTGCAGAAGAATTGACGGAGATACCCACGCAACAACGTAAGGATCGTGATATCAAGTATTTTGTCATTGGTTTCAACCTGCCAATGTTTGTTCGGTTGAGATGAGAATGTGGAGATATCCTTCTGACAAAAAGGGAAGGGGGGTGGTTCTACTTTGAAAATCCTTTCAAATTCTGGATTTTACCGTTTCAAGACATCGGATTTCGATATTCTACCGTGTGTACTCTGTACAAAGAAGAGGTGTGAAGATAAACTGAGAGGATCATTCTCTGGACCTTGCATTGAATGTATGAATGTATGAGTGTTCTGTCTGCTCATGATATTATCATCCAGCCGAGGAAAAAACTATAGTCTTACGTTTGCTTCAACACCAATCTCTTCAGTTGATCTTTCCTTTTAATATCTCAAAAATACAAAAATTTAATAATCAATTAAGAAATTTTGGAAAGAAATATGTTTACTCAATGGCGATTCAAATGCGGAAGGAAATGTGAACCCCGAAAATTGAACATCGTCTACTTGACTTATCTCGCGGGGTGAAATTTGAATGACATTGACAAAAATCTCAAGAGGAAGTGACTGTCCTCTAAACCTGCCTGTTATGGATTCACATACTATCTGTTCGCCATTTCCGAGAAGTTGCGATCATGCAGGTCCCATCACAACACTTGCTTGTCGCAAGGACTCCAGAATAGACTTGAGCGATATCTGTCAATACTGTAACGCTTTTCATGCGTCACCCGAGGAGTGCGGAAACATTCCAATTAAGATGAGTGAAGCCCTCTCAGATTACACGGTGCCCACGTTGCCGAAGGTACCGATATATCTAGACACGATACAGGAAATCGACACTGAAAGCTCGACGACAGTGGCGCAGACCTTGAATCTCGATGGCTTTGATGGGACTCGGGAAAGGGATGATCAAACTTATGGTTTTGTTCAGCTTCCGAAGTCGGGAAAGAAGATTTCATCGAGACAAGTTCCAGCAGGAACTCATATGTGTAAGATAAAAATGCTTCTGTATTTTTTAACTTTAAGGTGGAATATCGTGCTGATATTATGGTAGCTCCGCTCCATCAATTTGTAACCTCTCCTTTCAATTTGATGCCATTATCTCCAACGTTTTCGGATTCTTCGGGCCAGTCTCGTTTGTACGGCGTATCGAAAATATCAGTGTTGTCGAATCCTCCACGGGAGGACGAAGATGACTACCGTCTTGAAAAGTCAGACTTTATACGCAAGGAATTGAGGAAGCCGGTATTTCCAATCAATGAGATACACACGCTGCAAAGTCTGATCGATGACCTGCTCGATGAAGGACCATCTCTCGAATTCGAGGTTATCACTTATGCCCGGCTGGACAAGATAGTCGAGGAGATTTTGCAGCACGTCCGGAACAATTTTCTCAGCCAAGGACCTTCATTCAGACAGATTATGAGGAAAGCGCAAAAGCTTCGTGAACAGTGGATTGAAACTTTCGGAGACAGGTTTCACACTATGGATGATGAGCGATTGCGGTTCATGAAGGAATCTGGCTGTCTTCGGGACATTGAGCTACAGACCACTTCGGAGATATCCGAATTAGATGGTCCGACGTGGAAAATAAGAAGGGCCGCAACATTTTCGGAGAAGGAGGCCAATGAGAATTTTGAGCCAGGAGCGTAAGTTGAAAACTTCTGTTGTTTCCCATTGCCTCTCATTGTACAAATCCCTCTCAACACACAAGAGCTTCTCATTGCACAAGAGCCTCTTAATGCACAAAAGTCTCTCGGGGTACGAAATTCTCTCAAGTTATAAGAGCCTCTCAGTGCACAAAACCCCTTTAAAGTACAAATTCCTTTCAATACACAAATGTCTTTCAAAGCACGAATATCTTTTAGAACACAGATGTTTTTCAAAGTACAAATTCCTTTCAATACACAATATACCTCTCATTGCACAAATGCTAACCAGACAATGAGCAGTTGGTTTCTTAACACCCATTGTGCTGTTCGGGATGGGATTTTGCCTGATGCAAAGGACGGGTTTACTTGGGGAGTGAATGGTAAACCAGTTGCATTTTCCATGCTTTCTGGGTTTGAAATTAAAGGTTCCGGAAAGAGACAATGGGTACACATCATCGAATCGAGAGTCTGCGCATACCACGCTCGCCGGCTCATGTGTGTCGGGAATGTGATCAGACTTTTGCGGGGCTACAAATTGAAAAGTGAAAGGGCACCCAGACTCGGTGTTCGGTATGACGGCCTGTAAGTAAATTTCTGACACTCATCGCTTGATATATTTATATATGCTGACTTGTATAGCTATAAGATCGAAAGTTGGGGCCAAGTTCTCTTGAAGCTTTCGGCGGGACCTGACATCTATCGTAACACTATAACCCTAGTGGAACTCTCAGGACAAAATACAATGAAAGACCTGGATGTGATTCCAACTCCGTGGCAGATGGACAACTTCTTGATTTATAAGAAGATGATTGAGAATGATATCAAGGCACGCGAAGGTGAAGCTGCTTACAAAGAATACAAGTCCTCGGAAGGTAAAAAGGAAGCGGCTCGAAAGGCTTTTGTATCGAAATTGAAGTCCTACGACCAGCCTGCATATAAATTGCTAGAGTGTACGACTCACAGACTTGAGAATGCATTTCCGCTTCCACTATCATTCGAAGCATAACCAACCACGCCATCTTAAGTATGCTTAGTTTGAGGATACGCACAACGTGGAGAGCTAAAACGATGTTGTGATGAAGATGATAAGAATGGATGTTGAAGGAGACCGGGAGAAAGAGCGAGCCCCTCTACGATTATAACGAAGTATGACACATAATATAATATAACGAATTGACGAATCAAGATAGATATGATGGTCCTCTGTGATCTTGATTCCAACAGCATTCTGTTCTCACCTACTCAGGCAGAATTTGCATTTAAACTTTGAAACTATCTTGAACATTGACAGAGCATTTGACTGGATTTGATCTTGACCTGTCTATACGTGAAAGAAAAACACGATTGGGATTGATCACTAGCGAAACTCTTCAACAATCCAATTGTTCCATTTCGATTCAGAGAATAAAAAGATTGAATATAATTATAATTATAGATTGTCTAAGGATTTGTTCAATACTGCCAACCCTCATAGATTTTTTTGTAGTTGATTTATTACAGAATTTGTTAGGGTGATCATTTTTGGCATCTTTTCCCTCGCACGTATATAGCCTGCCCTGCATAAGTTACGGGATTGGCTGGTTGCCGTAGTTAGTGCGAAACGAAATCACGTGCAAATATACCTTGAGGAAAATCTCAATTCATTTTCCGTCTTCACTTCTCACCTCACCTTCCCGTCGGAACCTTCCCAATTTGATAATTTGAGGTTCTTTCCAGTTCGAGATTTTGGACTAGCAAGTGAATTTTATCGACAAATATGGCTAGCTTAGAAAACAACGAACAAGGTTCGTCACCTCGCAAGAGGCAGAAGCTCGATTCTTCTTTAGCTACCCCAATCTCTTCAACTTCTTCTTCCCAATTGAACATCGCAACCAGTTCAAATCCAATCGCAAATTCAAGCGACAAAATGGAGATTGATCCTCCAGGCCAAAGTTTGGTTTCTGACGTTCCATTATCTTCCCGACCTGAACATGCTCAAGAAGTTCGATCTGGAATTCTTCATTATGTCAATAAGAAAAACCCCGGATTTCAAGGTATATTGAAGCAGAGGTATGTTTATTTGTCTTTCCTTCCCCCAATTTGGTGTGATGTTTGTCACTGCGGTTCAAGATGGTTGCTTTTACAATTCTGTTTGTTACCTGCCCTTTCACAAAACTATGGCGTGTACCTTTCAGAATCCGTTGGAGATGTCCAATTACTTTGATTTCGCTTTTCATTGAGGTCAAACGGAGTGTAGTTATTGCCAATATGGCTTTATGATTTTATTTATATTGTAACTCTATCTTCAGTTTGAACTGTAGTTAATTATGGTGCATTAGATATACGGATTTCCTGGTCAACGAAATTTCCTTGGGAGGCGAGGTGGTCCACCTTAAGGATCTTAAAGCTCCCCAGAGCAACCAGCGCGGAGTGAGTTACTACCCCAAAAGATATCTTAGATCAATCTACATTTTTCTAGCAGAACGTGAAACTAATGGCTGTGAACAGGATGCAGCAAATGCCATTGCCGTTTCAACAGAAATTGGTAAAGAGAACCAACCAACAGCAGGAGGTTCGGAGCAGGCTGAATCAGTACAACCTACTTCTACTGGCTCTGCTGCAGCTGAAATTGCGGCTCTCGCAGATGTCACAAACAAAAGTGATTCTGTGGCTCCAAGCACTTCAGTTACTGCAGTCAGTGGTGATGTCACTACACAACCATCAGCTGAAGAACCAAATGTCGTCAGTATCAAAGAAATTCGACCCAACGATATGGAGATTCTTGTTGAATACTTTGGCGACGCTCTAGCACTCCAGATCATCGAGTTGGACAAAAAGATACAGCAGAAGCCCAATGCCAAAGCTGCTACATTTGGCTCCCTAAAATCAGAACCAATTGATGATAGACCCCGCCGTGGACGCATTCATGGCTTTGTGCGTGCGCGTTTTGAGTCGCGTCTGGAGACTGAGGCTATGGATGATAATTCTATCAGTATCTTCGCGGCAGCTCCACAGCAGCAACAACGTGGCAGAGGACAAAACCAGCGCGGTAGAGGCCAGAATAATGCCGGTCGAGGCAATTTTCGCAGTCAACCAAATGGCCAGCCCAAACCAAAGGGAAAAGTTGGATGGGAAGAACTTGGTGGGGAATATCTTCACTTCACGCTTTATAAGGAAAACAAAGACACCATGGAGACTATCAACTTATTGTCTAAGTTGACTAGGACTGGCGCCAAAGACTTTGCCTACGCAGGTACCAAAGATCGCCGTGCAGCCACCGCACAGCGTGTTAGTGCTTTTCGACACCATGTCACAAGCATGGCTCAGCTCAACAAGACGTTAAGAAATCGGTGCAGAGTTGGCGACTTTAAGTATGAAAAGTATCCACTCAGACTGGGCGATCTCGAGGGTAACTTTTTTACCATCACACTGCGCGATTGCCATTTCGGAGACGATAACGATATGGACGATGCTACAAAGGTTCAATCGGCAGAAAAAGTTATTGGAGATGCTATTAAACATCTGCAAACTCGTGGTTTTCTCAATTACTTTGGTTTGCAACGTTTTGGTACCTTTGCAATCGGTACACATGAAATCGGCAAACTGATTTTGAAAGGTAACTTCAAGGGTGCTGTCGATTCTTTGCTCGCGTTCAACGAGGATGCACTTGCAGCAGCCCAGTCAGGCCAAGATAGCAGCACCATTGGTAGAGATGATATGGCGCGTGCCCTTGCTATTCATAAATTTCGGGAAACCGGCAGGAACTCTGGTGGCAGGGACTCACTTCCACCAAGATTTTCCGCAGAGCGAGCTATCATTCAACACATGTCTTCTGAGCGCAAGCGCAACGACTATGCGGGTGCTATACTCTCCATTTCACGCCATCTTCGTACTATGTACGTGCATGGATACCAATCTTTCATTTGGAATATTGTAGCCTCCAGAAGATGGGAACGCTATGGAGACAAAGTTATTGAGGGCGATCTTGTTCTGGTAGAGAGCAAAGCTCCGGAACAAAAAGATGAAGTTGATGAAAATGGAGAAATTGTGATTCACGCATCTGGAGGGGACGCCGCACTTACTTCAGATGAAGTGTTCCAGCGTGCACGCTGCCTTTCGGCCGAAGAAGCTGACAGTGGAGCCTTCACCATATTCGATATTGTCCTTCCCATGCCAGGCTATGACATTGAATACCCCAATAACGAAATTGGAGACTTTTACAAGGAGTTCATGGCTAGCGAGCAGGGCGGTGGTCTGGATCCTGCGGATATGCGTCGAAAGATCAAGGACTTCAGTCTTAGTGGTAGCTATAGGCACCTTATTGGCCGAGTTAAGGAGGGAATGAGTTTCGAAGTCAGAACTTATCACGATGAAACGGAACAGCTAGTCGAGACTGACTTGGAGATTATCGAGAAGAACAATCCTCAAGATCATGAACCTTCCCATATTCAAACAACACACGTCTACGCTAGGAGAGAAGGCGACCCACACGGATATGCAAACTTCCAAGAGAATAACCGCCATCAGAATGATAATCAACAGGAGAACGGACATCGAGATAATGGCGCTCAGTACAACCAAGGCGGAAGACAACAAGGTGGACGTGCTCGTCACATGGCTGATGCTGCAGAACAAGGTCGCCAAAACCATGCTGTCTACGGTGGCAGTGCTCAGCATAATGCTTGGAAAGCACTACCTAACAAACTTGCCGAAGAAGACAAAGCTGCAGCTGAAGCATGGGAGGTAGAAAAATTGAAGCCTGTCAATGTGGATGCTATCAAGCAGCCAATCTATCAAGAGACATTTATCCAAACTTCTGTGGACGATGAGGGTCGCCGTACTGGAGTTAGAACTCAACAAACTCTCGGTTCGAAGAACGAGCTTCTTGAAGCAAACATCTTGGATAACAGAGTGGCAGACATCGAGAAAAAGTCGAAGGTTCAGGTCACTGAAACTCCATTGTCCGAATCTGATGATGACACTGAGACTCAAGAGGGAGGCGTCAAACTTGAAGTCTCGGCTGGTACCAAAAGACCTGCCGATGAGATCTCGAAGGGACCTGTTTGCGAAAGCAAGAAAGATCAAGTAGTCGTCAAAGTTATGGAAATTGAAGATAAGAAGGACGGCAATTCCGCTATAGTTTCTACTGAGATCAAGGAAGACACCCAATCATCCGAATTACCTCAGCCAACATCCACTGACACTGAAATTGCAACCGCACCAGCTGTAGAGGAAGTTGCCGAGGAAGCAAAACCTGTTCGACTTGCAGTCATCGTCAAATTTGGTCTCGGCTCAAGTATGTATGCTACAATGGCTCTTCGGGAGTTGATGCAGCAAGGAGGCGTCCAGGTCTACCAACCAGACTTCTCTTCCGGCAGATAGTTTTTTATTACATGCATTGAAGCGATTGTTACATAGTCAAAGGTTGGAGTTTGTGGCAAGATTTTCTGTGGTCAGATCTGGTATGATTTGTTGCTCATCGAATAGATGGATTTATTCTATGATACATGGAAGGTCATGGATTTAGAAATACTGAGCAATGACTTGTTGATAGATAGACTATATCTCTGAATGAGACATGAATAAAAGTACATGTTTTAAGAAAGAATTTCATGAAACAGTAGCTTGATGTAAATTTTGACGTGAATAACGATCCATCTCCCTCGTTTCTATCCTACAATTGCTTGTCATGCCTCGATAAAATAACGAGGTGTTAGTGTTCATTATGCTTCACATTATCTATGTCGTATACCGAGCTGGGTGTTACTGGACAGCTCGATCACACAATTTGATCTATACGGATCTAGAGCATCTGGCACATAATGTCCAACTCTCTAAGATAGGCATTGCATTGCCGTGCTGCGCGGTTAAGGGCGATCTAAAAAGCACCTACAATTATATCCAAGGACACCAAATGAGGTATCGTTTGTTCTATCCCAATTTCTAGATATCGTACAGTTTAAACTTGCATCTACATCTCTTCTCATCTCTAGATATTTGACAAACAAAATACAAAGTCTAGATCTCTTCTATCTTTAAATCTACAAAACAATCATACCATATAATTTACACCTGTCCGCCGACCCTTTCCCCAAACACCGAGTAGAAGTTAGACTGCGTAACATGGCTTTTCCTTCCCGTTTTCTCGTCAAAAATATGGCAGCCCTCTCGCGCCGCATTCGGGGGTGTGTATAGATGTAAACTCACAGCCACGTTCTCGGGATCGGGATTGGATATTCTGTGGAGGCCAAGATCGTCGGACATGTAGGTTACTTGATTCGTGGTGTAGGTTGTAGTTTTTATTATTGTGGGGGGCGTGTTGAAAGGCTGGGATGCGCATGGGGAATGTGTGGAGGACGTGGAGGTGGATGGGAATGTGTATTGGGTTTCCGAGAGAGTTCCCGCGAGGACTTTCATGAGACAATGCGCATCTGCGTGGTCGTGCAGGGGCGAGCCTTTTCCTGGACTCCAGACCAGAATTAACTAGACGGAGATTGATGGTTAGTTCGGTAGTATCGAGAGCAGAATGAAAGGGGTAGGTGTCCAGTACCAAATTACTCTTCCCGTTCCCTTCATCTACCAAGTTTCTCGTGTAGCCTCTGCTTAAATCTGCAAATGCGTATTTTCGCCACTCGTCTTCGTTGGAGATGTAGCGCTCCATTAGGGAGCGAAGCTGCTGCACATCTACGTCCGCGGATGTGAGGCCGGAAGATGGGCCGAGAATTTGGGAGAGGTCTGCGACGAGTTGATGGAAGGAATCGGGGGACGAGGAGGGTTTGGTGGATGAGAGAGAGGTTGAGCATGCGCCGGTAGCGTCGAGAGCTATGGATGGAGTCATTTTGAGTATTTAGTGAACTATTGAAGGTAATGTCTAGCGGGATAGGTAATTTTCCTAAGGAGGGAGGTCTTTCGGACAAATGTATGAATTTGATATATGAATATGATACAAGCAAGTGTAAAGGTATTAAAGGAAGAGGAAACCGTTTGTACAATTATAAATACATGAAACAAATAAAATAATATCCTATATAAACGACTGAATGATTGTATGTACGAAAAAAATAGAATCTCCAAAAATCATTGTTCAAAGAAAATTGTAAGTGAAGTCAAACTTTTGGTCACATCATCGGACTTTCTTTCCGCGGCCTTAGCAAGCATATCAAATGCCCCTCCATTCACATTCGGTTAGCCCAGATCAATGACATTGATATCAAAAAGTCACGCTCCGCTGACAACATCCAGCTTCAGACAATTGCAACCAGCTCTTCAACGCAACGAAACAAAATTCCGGTATTCTACATCGCCCAAACTATCACCATGCCACCAGCCAAGAAAGCCGCCGGGAAAGGAGGAAAGGGAAAAGGAAACGACGCGGGCGATGCGAAAGAGACAAAAGTTAAAGGAGCCCAGCAAATTAATGTTCGACATATACTGGTGCGTCACCTGATCTTTGAATACTTCCTTTGTGATTGGAAATGATCAGTGGATGGGATATTGATTTGCATACCTACAATAGTGCTCCAAACATAGTAAAATGACGGAAGCTCTCCAAAAATTAGAGGCGGGTGCAAGCTTTGATAGTGTGGCTCGGGAAATGTCTGAAGATAAGGCGAGAGCTGGTAGGTTTTTTTTTGTTTACTAGGTCAATTTTGTAGATATTTCCATCGAGCAGGGGAGGATTTCAGGAAAAGAAGCTGACAAGGAGTTTTATCATAGGAGGTGCATTAGGATGGAAGGGGAGGGGAGATTTGGATGCTGAGTTTGAGAAGGTGGCTTTTGAAATGGAAGCCAGTACTACGGCGAAGCCAAAGTATAGAGAAGTGAAGACGGGGTTTGGCTATCATATTCTTATGGTTGAAGGAAGGAAGTAGGCAAGAGCAATCTAATGAAGCGAGGAATGAATATTGGAAGCTGATTCAAGGACGAGAAAGACTTTGGTGGATGGGATGTGCATTGTAAGGGGGTGATGAAATTACTAGCTGAAGTGTTGGGCGTTGTTTGCGTTTTCTCGATTGAGTGCATGAAAAGGTTCTAGATGAGCCCATGGATAGGGCTGAGAACCTAGTCTTATTAGAATTAATAAACCTTTCTCCACAAACGGCAGAAGCATAGGTCAGAAAATGCGGCGCGACCAGTGGAAGGTTATAAAATTGGCCATTGAAGGTGCATGTTCACGTGCGTTCACTGTGCGAAAAAAGGACGAAATTTTGATGCTCCATAGCCAATGTCATTGCCACCAGTAATCCACGCTATTTGTGTGTAAATCCGAATGATACAATGTATGTCCGCTGTAGAAACTCCATATCCGTGGCGTATTTATTGCTCGGTTTGGAAGTAGTTGAGGAGCATGGTGCGCTCTTGAGACTCCTCACCCCAATCCTTGACGACAACGCAGGAGCAGTTGACGACCTTGCGTGCGTTACCCTCACGGTCCAAAACACCTAAACGTTTGTCAGTTAAAGCCCCAGGTAATCATATACCGGATATACTTACACAAACCAGCCCACTCGCCCAATTGCTTTCCGTCTGGAACCTTGATCAAGGGGATCTTGTGCTCGGAGCAGAGAGCAACGACCAACTTCTTGTATGCTTCCTCCTCGCATGCCTCGTTGAGAACACACATGTGTGCTTGGCGACGGTCGAGAGCCTTGGAGGCTTCACGGAGACCTCTGGCGAGACCATCGTGCATAAGTGCGAGCTTGAGGACACCCTTCAATGCGTCGATAACGGACATTTGTCCCTTGGATGCATCTCCGGAAACTTCGACCTCATCGGCCTCGGCGACAATTGGGGAGGTTGGCTCTTCTACGTCAGACTATGAGAGGATGATTGTTAGCGACGATTACTTCATGTAAAAACCCAAATCATTGAATTTCGTATTTTGGTGGGGGATATATCCCAGATATGCGACTTCATTGCGCCAATGGCGCGTACAATCGATGAAGCTTTTCTACCAAAAAATAACAAAAAAACCAACTTACCATCTTGATTGTGATGATATCTTTAGGTCCTCGAAGAGTATGTTGATATATTTGGATTTTAATGTATGGAGAAAATTAGCTTGAGAATCTTGTGTTGTAATTATTCTGCGTTTAGCGAGACCCTAGCACAGGCGACCAATTAGGTAATCACGAAAAGTTCCCACAATGAATTTTAAAATTCTCCATAGTAAATTTTGATTGAAAACCTCACGATCTTGAAATTTATTCCGAATTCCCTTCCCACGACAACTTCAACGCCCATTCTATAACGAGGTGTGTAAATACTGCTACGATGGCAATTCTTTCAGAAAGTCCTTCATGATTGACAAAGAGGAGCAAATCGATCATCTACTCAACTGTAAATGTGGTATTCTTTGGTTTCGATAATCGATAAGCTTCGGCCTACTTTATTTATCACCATGAATCCATAGCAGTTGAAGGATGTCGACACTACTTACTCTATCATTCGACACGAGCTTTAGAACCCTCTTGTCAATCATGAGGGCACTCTTTATGCTTGAGAAATCTTGAAGGCTAACATATCGACCCTGCAGATACCTCATCTTTGATCAAGCAGATTATTTGAGAATCTCTATCCGTCAAAATGGTTAAGACTTCAGTCCTCAACGATGCGCTCAACGCCATCAACAACGCTGAGAAGGCCGGAAAGCGTCAAGTTCTCATCCGCCCATCCTCCAAGGTCATCGTCAAGTTCCTCGGTGTCATGCAAAAGCACGGTATGTCGACAAATCTTTCTTCTTATTCCTTCATTCGGCATGATAACTAGATAATGATCTCAACTCCACACGATCAAAGTCCTTTAAGTTGCCGATATATCAAGCTGCGCGGATCTTACACGTTCTCTGATTATTATTTATGAAGTTATATGTTTAATCTTTCGCAACATACTAATGTCTCTCTTTAGGCTACATTGGAGAATTCGAGGAGGTTGATGACCACCGTTCCGGAAAGGTCGTTGTTCAATTGAACGGCCGGTAAGCAACAACTTTCACCCTGCTGTTAAGAATACATTGCTAATTCCATGATATAGTCTTAACAAGACCGGTGTTATCTCCCCAAGATACAACGTCAAGATTGAGGACTTCGAGAAGTGGGTTGTCAAGCTTTTGCCTTCCCGTCAATTCGGACACATCGTCCTCACCACCTCCGCTGGTATCATGGACCACGAAGAGGCTAGACGCAAGCACGTTGCCGGAAAGGTCCTCGGTTTCTTCTACTAGACGAAAAATACCAATAAAGGAATACAAATTATCATGAGAGATGTAGCCATCTAGGGAACCCAGCTTCCGGGGTTGGAGTAATATCTAGAACAGGTCGCTGAATATACCCATTTCGTTCTTGCTTTACGCATGGTCCGAATTCTTCATTTGAAGAATAGATAGGTCTATTACCAAAAGTCAATTTAATCTCATGATTTATAATTTTTGTTCTCCAATCGTGCAATGTGATATTTATTTTTCATGATGTTCTAGCTTGATCTACACAAACGACACTTTACATTGGCGAAGTTACTCCATTCGATTAAGCAACAGGCAATTCAGGCGGCATAATCTAAGGCGCGCGTATAGCGCTACTGTCAGCGTATGGTAGTTTACCCATAAGTTATGTTACATCGCCATTGAGCAAATATGTTGTAGCGTCCATCTACGAGAACCTCCTGAATGTGTAGACCCAAGATGCATGTTCGTGGCGTAAACATCAATATTACCTTATCCTAAGCTTTTTTTGGCTTAAACACCGAAGATGTTCTTATCTACCTAAGGTGCCTCCTACCTACCTAGTATGCATACAAATTCTTGGAAACTACCTCGAGACAGAGAAAGTGAATGAAGGAATGCATCGCGCCATATCATGGCCTACTTTACTACATCACAAAATGCACTATACCTGATTTCGAGCGTCCTTGAGTCCTGGTAGAACCACAACAAAATACTTCCAAGGTTTCAATCCCGATAGTGAGCGAGCTTTCGTTGGATCGGATTCGCTCAGAATCTCAGACACAACTCCTTTTTGCACAATCATTCATAAGACGAAAAAGGAGTACTATGGACCGTATCATAATGTGGCGAAATTAACATAACTTTTTCCATGAAATGAAGAATGGTTCATATATATGGTAGCATTGTGGTTGTGGCCAGAACATCGGAAGGAATCCCCACTACAACCAGCATCTTTAGGACGAAAGTCTTTAAGAAAATACTCGTAAATCACCAGCAATTCAATTCAGCCAAAGAAGAGAATAACATCTTACGAAACTTTCAATTCGTCGCCACTACTCACACGCATGCGACAAACAGTTATATTTTATACGGTATTTCCCTTTTGTTTTGATCATATTCGTACACGACTTTATCCACTCCACTCATATGCGCGTCTCGTCGGCAGGAAGGCCGCATTCGTTGTGCAAGGATAAATTAACAATTATCCAAAGAACAAGGGGGTCTCACGAGCACCCGGAAGTCGCAGTAAAGAGTACAAAGAGTCTGCTTCTGGCCCAACCGTTACTATGGCTGGACAAACTCGTCGTAGGAGCTCAAGTGCGGCATTTCAACATCGCGCTGAACAAGTGCACTTTGTTCCATTCGATGGACATGATGAGACAAGAAGACCTTCTCTCAGCGCAATGATAATGAAGACGCGGCGGAAAATGAAGTCTCGCCAATTTCTACTGCTGATTAGCATTCTTACCTTGGCTACATTTTCGATATTCTATCTGCGAGCGCCTTTTCCATACCATTCGACCTCTTTCCCATCCTCTAATCAGAAACCGAAACAGCCAAGCATACCCAATCGAATATCAACTTCCATTGATGATGTCAAGAAACCGCAGGAAGCTTCGTATCATATTGGTCCTTCGCATCCAATTTATCAATTAATCAAGGATAATGAGCAAGCGTTCGAGAATACCAAAGCGAAACAATCGAAGACATTGGAGGAAGCAGTGGCAGAATATAGAAAACGATATGGGATACCTCCGCCCCCTAATTTCGACAAATGGTATAATTTCGCGAAGTCAAAAGGTGTAAAACTCATCGACGAATATGACAACATACATACATC